TTTACCCATTTACAAAAAAGTGGCAAGGTAATGGTATTTATTTGTGATGACCTGACGACCTAAACTTTAATCTGACTGAACAATTATTAATGGACATTTGCATGATTGATTTTGACGACTGTTCGATGATCGCATTTCATGGCCTCCGTAGCTTAGAAACGTGTCTACGTTAGGAGGCAACAGGCGTCAATGGTCGGGGGCACGCCCCCGTGTCTCATTAGGCATCATGCCTGACGTTCCACTACATCGTGGAATACCAGGTGGCAATCCCCAACTCGCGCTGTTTTCACATCACCGAATCACTAAAGCGACTCGAGATGTGGAGACATTACGATGACTTTCATTTCCCGTTAATGACGTACTCGTATATCCCTGGTTTCGTGCAATATTTACATTTGGATGATTGCAGTTCTAAATTTAGTGTCGGTTTCCATTTCGCTGGCGCTTTAGTGGCTTTAATGCGTCTGCATTTGAGTTCAGATCGTCTCGGCTCACTGGTGTTTAGGTAGTTGCAGTAAGTTCGTTCGTATATGACGTCATAGACGAGGCCGTCCATTATAACCTGCCTGGGCTGTTCTGCTTTGATCTTGCGGCTGTCACTCGCTTTGGTCGCGTTTCGTCCGATGAAGTCCAAGAATATATGTCATCTTGATGTTGAAAGGCCGTCACGAAGTAGCGATGGTTCTTGCGTCACATACGCTAGACTTCCCTGCAAAAAAGGAGAATCCAGCAGTGTTTATTAAACGGGATGGTCTCAGTCATTAGAGCTCTGGAAACTTGCCGCCATATCGGAAGATCATTCAGCAAACTTAATTTTAATTTAAACGAGTGATATCATTTATGTATGTGCAACCAGCCTTGACAAATTATTTCGAAAGATTGGTCATGTCTAAATTGAGCAATGAGGAGGAATGATAAGTTCCGAGTAATAACGCAGTTCTTGACTGTCAAACCTACTTCATCAGTCTTCGTGTAGGACAGTGGTCGGCAGGTCATTCGGGGTCGTGCCTCCTTTTTGGGCGCCAGGCAGGGCCATTACCCCCACCTACCAGACCCCATTGCTGACATAACCAAGTTTACTGAAATTCCATACCGTCCTGGAACTCTTTGGGTATTTGTGCATTTCCAATGCATCAAGTTTAAAACATGACACTTCCTCCACAAAACATTTAATGCCTATATCCCACTAGCGGCAGAACACCTTCAATAAGGGGGAGGGGAGGGGGGGCACTGCTGACTTTTGGTCCCATTCTTTCCATGCAACGCCCATAGGGCTAATGTTAATATGCAAAAATCAAAGGGTGCACGGTGCCCCGGTGCCCTCCCCGTTCCGCCGCCTATGCTATATCCCATTTAACCCTTGTACGTATAGGGGCGGCGGGTGGTTTTTCGTTAAAAGCTCACGTAAAAGGCATTGGATCACGACCAAATTGTACCCTCGAGCCCATCATATTTTTTTTTTTTACCAACCCGGAAAATATCATGACCTGAGACCAGTTTTACCAACAGAAAAATAACCGCCTGCCGGAATTTTTGCCTCAAGACCGCTTCACATACGGAGCGTAAACGCGATGGGCTCGTAAGCGGATAGGGCTGTACCGTTTACGCTCCATATGTGAAACGATCTTTAGGCAAAAATTCCGGCAGGCGGCTATTTTTCTGTTGGTAAAACTGGCCTCTGGACCCATAACGACCGTTGGCTTATGAGCTTTTTCTGGAGATCATCTTGAGCCATAAACTCTCACTTCAAGGAGTTATAGCGGGTCCCGATTTTCTCGACACTTGTCATTGCCCTCTTGAATGAGACGGAATGACCAAGGACCTTAAAAATGGGCAGCAGCGGCTTCCTATTGTCATGGGTAGCACGCTCGTCTTTTTTATGCACAGCTCCATATCAGAGTCCGAGAGGCCGCGGGGGTCCGATCGACTCCTCCCCCTTACGTTAGCGGCTGTTGAAACGCCAACAGACGGGCGACGGTCAAAAGTTGCAGCTGCTTTTGTACGACTGTACGGAGGGGTGAGATGGTGAGGCGAGCAGGTACGTGAAAATTGGTATCTAATCAATGTGTGCTGACTGCTGTGCCTTTGGCCTGGGCTAATCTTTGAACCCTGGGATGCACCAGTCACGATGGCTCCATCACTGGAGCTACAAACTCTAAAAAGATAGGCTTTCTCAGAATCCCTCATTACCCCCACCGAAAGGACTCCATTACCCCCAAAGGGGGCATGCCCCACCATTTGCCGACCCCTGGTGTAGGATATCACGCAGAGTTCATTTGCGCGGAATGAGCTCGAAGCGGCGTATCATTCGGAACATTTCGCCCCGTCGCGAGCCTGACCTAGCCACTGTTCCCGATGCACCAAGCTTTCAGCTCGCATCAATCGACATCAACAGCGTTATCTCTGTGCAGCGAGATGCTGTTTAGCCGCCGGCCGCGGTTTTACCACCGCGTAAATACCGCCGCGTAACTACGTAATTACCGCCGCGTAACTACGCAAACACCGCCGGGGCGGTCCGGGCCACGGCGGGTGTTGCCCAACGCGGGAGGTCCCGTGCTTCCCCGGAGTACTTAGCAGCCGCAGGAGGGCGAAGGTGGAATAATAAAGGATGACAGGTGCGCGCGGGGAGCATCCACAGGTGTTATTGGACACTTTTTGCGTGTGTGTATGTGGTCCCGGGGGGAGTGGGCGGGGGCAGTGATGGTGGGGTCAGTTATCAAGGAGAGATACGTCACGAAAATAACCTTTGTGGTTACACACGAAATTTAAGGCCTAAATAGTTACCGTGCTGATATGCAAGTGTTTTATCGGCTCATTGCAACGAATTACGCCTGGGTATCAAGCATGCGCCAACGATGGATTTCGACTGCAACTAGTGGCAACGCTGCAACCGTTATGGGTATCACAAACAACAACACCCTCTCTGAAACCACTCATCCGTGGCCGATCAAAGTGAAATGTTTCCCTGATTTGACAGATGTCCGTGCATCCTAGTACGACTAACGAGGATCATCAGTCAGTGTTAGCTTGTTGCACGAAGCACTTTCGAACAGTCGCCAGTGATTGTCGATGCTTGCAAACCATCATCGATGACAAGACCTATTTGTAAATATGTTTCAGCCACTGACTCACGTTCTATTTGTTAATCTGTATATCTTGGAAGCACGGCGCAATGAGAAACAATATTTTTGAAGTTTTTGTTAAGATTGTTTGTCTCTTCGTTGTTCCTCTGTTGCCATCCGTGATGGTGCATCAACCGGTTAGGTCTTGTGAGAATTCGTACCTTTTCCAGAAAGCTCATCTCATCGAGCTTGCATCTCTCACCTTAAATTTCCGAGCACAATGCATTAATGAACAGCAATCTGTACCTATGCCGTAATACTGTATAAAATTACGACATCGTATTGGAGTGATGCTCCCCAAGCAAAGCTAACGCTAAGAGGCAATCTACGTGCTCCATGGCATAACTGAAATAAGCTATGTCTGCTAGGATGTATTAAAAAAGAAAATCACTTATCTTATATATTCATGCCACGGATACTACGTCAGAAGAATGCTCAGATTATTGTTCAAATTTCAATGCTAATTCCGCACTACAAACGAACCTCAAGACCAAGCCCATCGGCGACAGTTTGAGGCTCGGACAGCGTTATTTCGTAACCATTGGCATTATATCCCTCGCCGGACCTATTGGTTTTCTACATACGCGCCGGCCGAGGGGGGGGGGGGCGGGTACGACCCCCCCTCGCCGTTTCGCCCCTGGTGGAGCTAGCGCGTTGCGGAAAAAAAGAGCGTGTGCGCCGTTACGAGACGCAGGGATTGGTACCCGATTTTAAGGTCCTAGGTCAACCGGTGACCTCTGAGGTCAGGTCAAGTGCCCCAAGGTACGGTTCAGTTTTTGGTGAATAACTTCGCAAAAAACGGCCGCAGAGCGCCGATTTTGGCAGCATCGTGTTCGCCTCGCCCAGGCGCGTCGAATGATATACTTTTTGTCCGGGTCAGGTCAACTTGGGGTGTTGACCTCAGGTCAAGGTCAGGTCAGCACCCCCAGGTCACGAAGTTGGTCGAAAGAGGTCATGTCGCATATCATTCGATTCGGCAGGCCTTCCTGAGTCCATTGGTGGCTTTCCCGACTCGCTAGCTCAATTTGATCAAGAGTTATTGACGAAAAACTAATATGACCTTGATGACGTCATAAATGACGTCACGCAAGGTCAACATTGCAAAAGTGACGCATCTAACCTTGCAAGGAGTGCATCAAATCACGATTCTGTGTGCTTGAGATAGTTGGAGATCGTTCCCGACGCCAGAATAGCAGTTTTCATTTTTCCCCATTGACTTATAATGGTGAGGTCACGAAAATGACCTGACCTCATATGACCTTTAGGAAAAATCCGAGATATACAAGTTGTGGAACTCATAATGGATATTAGATCCTGCAAGTTTCATTTCCCTGTGACATCTCCTCTGGCAGTGAGGGTGTTGCGAAGTTGCGACATCTGAAGACCGTGCAGAGGTTCACTTATGACGTCATAGGTCATTGACCTGACCTGACCCAAAAATGCGGTTGGTGTCAAAAGATCCGGCTTGGATCAAAGGTCAGGTATGCCAAGTTTCAGCTCTCTATCGCCAGCGTGTTCGGAGCTATCGCGAAAAAACCCTATGGGGGGGCGGCACCCGCCCCCCCCCTCGGCCGGCGAGGGATATTTCATTCCAACTTACATTGCTTCAAAGACGCATGCCCTTATTTTTTACCAGGATGATCCGCTTCCCACTAGCAGTGGACGCAGCCCCAGAGGCGGATCCAGCTCAGAGTTTTTTTTTGGGGGGGGGGGGGCAAACCATAACAATTTATCGATTCTTTCCATGCCTCGTCCATAGGCGTAATGTTAAAATTATGCCGTTTGGGGGAGGCAAATGCCCATTTTGCCCCCCCCCCCCTGGATCCGCCACTGTGCAGCCCTTGCATTGCACTCCCCTGACGCGTCGATTGCTTTCAGGGAGCGTCTCGTCGACAATCATCGTCCCGGCCCAGTTCGTCACTTTGAATGAAACGAGCGGCCTGCACCCGTGCCGGAGGGAATGTAGTCAGTTCGAGAAGCCGAAAACCTGCTACTACCACTTCCGAATGGAGTACTACTACACCCTCTCAATGGTAAGTTCGGGAGTACTTCTACACCCTCTCGATGGTATGTTCGGGAGTACTACTACACCATCTCAATGGTAAGCTCGATGACCCTGTTTACAGTGCTGCTCGGCGTAACTATGCGGCTGTCACGGCTGAATCAACGCTCTTTGTTGCCGCAAATCGCAATCTATTGTTTGCGGTCTTTGTCTCTTTTAACGCCTACTCACTTTGACTTTGTGTATTGTTATTTGTTGCTCACTCATTCTCGGCAGAATCCATATTTTTCAGCCGTAATTTTCCTCTTTGTGTACTATCCGAGAAGGTTCCTTTGCGGACCATTGTTGTCTATTTTGTTTTATCTATGTTTTCCATTTTGTCTCTATGCATGTCATTCATCGCTAGCGCCCGTTAGCTCGGAGAACGGTACACAGATGGTGCGCCGAGTCTCGCACCTGACCTGTAGGGCGCCACTGTTACCACAGTCAACACCAGGGTAAGCCTCGTAAGGTGAATGCACTGGATCACGTGCCAAGGTCATCTGGCAAGATCACAACGGTCAAGGTCACGGTTAGATGGGAAACGCACATAACGTGCGTAACGTGCGACACCGACAGACAGGCAGACAGACGACAGACAAACAGATAGGTCCACAACCAGACAACCCCAAACACACGCAGACAGACACACACACGCACTCACAACACCGGCGTGACACGCATACGTGTGCGCACACAACACGGTCATCGGAATTGCATCAGGATTGAGAAGGCTGTGAATGTCGCAAAGGTCGCCGCTCCTACACTTTCCTCGCAGTAAACATATTTCATTGCGACAGACAGACAGGCGCAAATGGTGTGAAGGACGGACGAAATGTGCATGTGATAGAGACGTGGCGGACGCGCTGAATAAAACGAAGGCATACATGCGCAGTTTGTATTTTGTACACGGGCTGCATTCGGAATGTATAACCCGTGAATGTATTATGAATTCGGAGCACGGATAGGGATAATTGCAGGCATACGCCCAGGAGAAAGGAGGAGCAATTTGCGTCGAACCGTAAAACATTCTCCGGTTGGCTGCACAGTGCACAGCAGTTTTAATTGCACAGAGTCGGCCCTCTACTAAATCTTTTGCACGCTGTCATTTGTAGGCTTAGCTATGTTAATTATTGTGAAGACTCCTATCGACAGAAGTGATTCCGAAATATCATGATTTCGAGCTCATGGCACGTTGCAGGCATATCTTGACAATAATGTACTTGCTATAATATTTGCCTCTTACATACTCACTTCCCATCTCGTAACTAGCTCGACGTTTCCCGGGATCAGAGGATCCATCGTCAAAACCGTTAACCGCCCCCCGCACGCGCAGCTTGCACCCCTCGGATATTATCTCGCCGGAATGTCATGACTCAATGTATTCTTCTTATGACCTGCAAGTTTTGAACCAGTTAGAGCTGCCGTTTACCCTGCAGGCGTGGCAACGTACGAAGGGGTGCAATCGGCTTGCACGTGCATAGCTCATGCACCACGGAGTTTAGCTCAACCAAATGTGCACTATTTTGGAGGCCTTGCCTGGGACTACCATTGAACCGATTTTGAGGTTGATAGCTCAAAATTTCTTTGAGCCAGAGGACCTCACGTCAAAACGGTTTTCCGCCCCCAGCACGTGCAGCCTGCACCCCTCGCAGACGGTGACCCCCCTGGAAACTGGTTCAAGGTGTTACCGATGTGTCCCGCCAGTGTGGCTTTGCCCGTGACCTCGGATTGACCTGTAGCCTTGACAAAAAATTTCGTGTCACCGAAACTTTGAAACGGAATAGCATGTGCCACGAAGCACTGAGCTAACCGAGGTCAGCACCAAAAGTTTACCTCGCCGGAGACGAATCGAACGGTCTCACTTTCGTCCCGATCGGTCCACCCATTTTGACTCCAGGTCCAAAAAAGCTTGGACAAACTCACTCACATACTCACTCACATACTCACTCACATACTGACAAACAGGCTTGGCCGAACTTTTCTTCAGCGACCCACCAATGGGAATTTCCGGATGCAAAAGCATGCTATCGCATGCTTTTGATCCTCCAATTCTGGATTATATTCCGAAGTACACACTTTGACTAGAAGTGGCAAAGTCCAAAGCACGTTGGCTGAGGTACAGGCGCTCACACAATTGGCATTTGGCGCTGCTGCGCGTACGGCCTTCTTTGATGATTGTTGTCAACCATGTAAATCACCAGACATATGTTCAACATCATGCAGACTGCAGAGGGAAGGGCAAATAAGGCCTGTACGTTTTCTAGGTCAGCACCTACTTACGTAAGCATAAACCCCGCACCAAGGCCCATTCTCTGCTTTGATAACACGATGTATATGACAAAGGAATCTGCAAAAAGAAAATGTTTCACCATGAATTGCTCTGAACTTTGTCATCTTCCACCGCTAGACAAGCCTTTTTATAATCCGGAGTTTCCCCGGGATCTTTATCGCCCCCAGTGTTGTCAGTAAACGTAAACTTGTACTTCTTACATTACCCAATCGTTTAAAAGACAGTAGGTATTTTTCCAGACGATGCCGCCATTCGAAATGCATGAAATCTAGACGATTTCCTTATGAGTACCGTCTAGTTTCTCCACAAAAAGTTGATGCTGTCAAATCGCACTCACAGTTCTTGTGTTATGATGATTCGCTGGCCACTGCCTCAATTCCCCCACACTGGAGGTTGCTGGTGGTGTAGGAACTATGGAAGAGAAACTATAGCGAAGAAATGACCGTGACACTCCGCTTCTGCACTACCTCCAATTAAAGCACACTCTACATACCTATAGGATCTTCCTCCGAGTGCGTGAGCCGGTCCTTGAACCTCTCATCACCAGTGATGCCTCATAACGTCACGCGTCCCAAACATCCGTCTCAAATTCCTCTCACGTCGCCGCTGCGCTGTCTCCATTGTTTTGTCGATTCAGTGAACTCTGGCGTAAACAAACGCACGGGTCAAACGCTTTTTGACAAACACAGTTTTTCATTTCTAACTACTAGAACTCGGTTAATAATCCTGTATTCTTGACGTTTTTTCTGATTTTTTATTGTGACACTCTATGCAGTCTTTCCTCTAAATGGTTTTCTTTCGTGAATTCCATCCAGCGATGTTGCCGCTATTGTTTATCTTTCAACTGATCTTCACGTGCTGATGTCAGGACCTGTCCACGCGGTGCCTGGTAACAGACAGACGCGGAGTTTTCCCAACTGACTAATGATGACGTCATTTTCTGAGGCTGCGGTGATCGCGTGACGCCACAATGTTTATATTTTACGGGTTCCGCACGGTTTCTCGATCCTCGATCTTAGGGAAGTCCGATTGTTAGGTACTGCTAATTCCACGAGCCGATATTCATTCGCTAGGAAACGCCATTCATTTCATACTTCATAGCATGTCAGTCAAAAGTGGATTTTTTATTTAAACACTCAGTTGAAGTCTCATTACTATAGGTTACAGGACAATTTGCCGAACTGCGTTTTGCCGAATGCTTATTCGTCGAATGTCAATATGTCGAATGCATTTTGCCGACGTGTCTTTTTGCCGACGTGTCAAAAAGGCGAAGTGCTAAAAGTCGAAATGCAATTTGCCGACATGCCTTTTTGCCGACGTGCAATAAGTCGAAAATGTCAATTTGCCGAAATGCTAATTTGCCGAAATGTCAATAAATCGAATTGTCAATTTGCCGAAATGTCAATTTGCCGAAAAGTCAATTAGTCGAAATGTCAATTCGCCGAAATGCTAATTAGTCGAAATGTCAATTAGTCGAAATGTCAATTTACCGAAAAGTCAATTAGCCCTCGCCGGACCTATTGGTTTTCTACATACGCGCCGGCCGAGGGGGGGGGCGGGTACGACCCCCCCCCTCGCCGTTTCGCCCCTGGTGGAGCTAGTGCGTCGCGGAAAAAACGAGCGTGTGCGCCGTTACGAGACGCAGAGATTGGTACCCGATTTTAAGGTCCTAGGTCAACCGGTGACCTCTGAGGTCAGGTCAAGTGCCCCAAGGTACGGTTCAGTTTTTGGTGAATAACTTCGCAAAAAACGGCCGCAGAGCGACGATTTTGGCAGCATCGTGTTCGCCTCGCTCAGGCGCGTCGAATGATATACTTTTTGTCCGGGTCAGGTCAACTTGGGGTGTTGACCTCAGGTCAAGGTCAGGTCAGCACCCCCAGGTCACGAAGTTGGTCGAAAGAGGTCATGTCGCATATCATTCGATTCGGCAGGTCTTCCTGAGTCCATTGGTGGCTTTCCCGACTCGCTAGCTCAATTTGATCAAGAGTTATTGACGAAAAACTAATATGACCTTGATGACGTCATAAATGACGTCACGAAAGGTCAACGTTGCAAAAGTGACGCATCTAACCTTGCAAGGAGTGCATTAACCCGCGCCCCAGTGGCGGTCTCAGCCAACTTCGCCCTAGTGAGGGGGGGCATATGTTACCACCCACCTCTAACTCAAAAACTAAGAGGGCTAGAAAGACGCAGTAAAAAGCAGTCGATAGCTTTCAATGCGTACGTTTGAAAGTATTTCAGTCATTTTTCACCTTAGAGCAATATTGGGGTCACCAGAGGTCATCAAAGGTCAAAATTTGCCAATTGTCATTATATTTTTCAGAAAACATGCCGCTATCTCAGGAACTATGGTAGCTAGAATAACGCAGGGAAAAGCAATCGATAGCTTTTGAACTCTTCTTTTGAAAAGGTCATTATCAATATTGACCTCAGGTCAACGGTTTGGCCTCCAGAGGGCAAAAAGTCCAAAAATAGCTGTTTTTACGAAAAGTGTTTTTCGACAATAACTTTCGACTACAAAAAGACACGACATTTCTATTGCCAGAATCGTGTTCCTCTCGCCAAGACGCGTCGAATGAACTATAATTTGACCTTGAAAGGTCAAGTTGAAAATTTGACCTCAGGTCAAGGTCATGACCTTACCGGAAAAGGTCATGTTGCATATCAGTCGATGCGTCTCAACAAGGCAAACACAATGAGACCATCCCCAGCGTTCTATCTCTTTCCAATCGCGAGTTATTGGCAAAAAACTGTTTGTAGCCTCAAGTGACCTCGGATGACCTGTCTAGAGGCTATCAGCAAAAATGACACCTTGGTCATCACGAGTGGACCAAATAATTGTGATTCTGAAATATTTGGACTGTTCCGATGCGTACACACGGATCTAGAGGCATTTTCATTTTTCTCCATTGACTTGTAATGGAAAGGTTTCGCCACTGACCTGACCTTAGGTCACGGATATAAAAAATCCGAGATATACAACTTGTAGGCGCCCATAACAGCATGCAATCCACCAAGTTTGAAACCTTTCTGACAAACACTGCAGGCTGGACATGATTGCAAACTTTTTTTAGGCTTGGTCAGTTAACTTGACCTGGTGACCTGACCTGACATGACCTGGGGTCAAAAATTTCACACATTGTCCAAAATTGATGTACCAAAAGCTACCCCAAGCGGCGCGGCGCTACGCGCCGCGGTTTTTTATTCACACGCAAAAAACGCGACAGGGTGGTAACATATGCCCCCCCCCCCCACTGGGGCGAAGGTTAAATCACGATTCTGTGTGCTTGAGATAGTTGGAGATCGTTCCCAGCGCCAGAATAGCAGTTTTCATTTTCCCCATTGACTTATAATGGTGAGGTCACGAAAATGACCTGACCTCATATGACCTTTAGGAAAAATCCGAGATATACCTACAAGTTGTGGGACTCATAATGGATACTAGATCCTGCAAATTTCATTTCCCTGTGACATCTCCTCTGGCAGTGAGGGCGTTGCGAAGTTGCGACATCTGAAGACCGTGCAGAGGTTCACTTATGACGTCATAGGTCAGTGACCTGACCTGACCCAAAAATGCGGTTGGTGTCAAAAGATCCGGCTTGGATCAAAGGTCAGGTATGCCAAGTTTCAGCTCTCTATCGCCAGCGTGTTTGGAGCTATCGCGAAAAAACCCTATGGGGGGGGGGCGGCACCCGCCCCCCCCCCCCTCGGCCGGCGAGGGTTAGTCGAAATGTCAATTTGCCGAATGCCAATTAGCCGAAGCTTACCCAACCTAACCTAACCTAACCTAACCTAACCTAACCTGTAAGTATTAGCTTTAGGACCGACTCAGTTTTGTTAGGCAAATTTTACACCTTCTTCCATTTTTTTGAGCTCCTAAATCCTGATGTGATACAGCATGTCACCAAAATATAAGAAAAACATAACCAAACCTTACCTAACCTGACCTTCTGATTTTTGCTTACCCGTGGATAAGGAAGAAGTTACTCACATGAATAGATTGCAGACAATGATAAGTCAAATATTTTTAGGTTAAGTGGTTGTGCATCAGGCTTCAGGCCGAAAGCCTGAAGCCAGATACACAACCACTAAAATATTTGACTTACCATTGCCTGTAATCTCTCCTAAGGCATTGCCTTCGGCACTGCACTGCTTCGCCACGAGCAATTTGATGTTATTTTCCATATTGTGTTGGTGCTTTTAAACTTGTTTGTGCCATGGATAATTATTAGTTATGAAATCAGGAGGTCAAAGGATGTCATGTGATTTGCTGTTTACTTGGGTATCCGGGATTGCACTAAAAGTAAATTGATGATCGATCCTAAAGTAAACAAATAGGTACCACCTAACCTAACCTAGGTTTGCAGATTGACATTTCTTCAACTAATCGACATTTCGGCAAATTTACATTTCGACTGATCGACATTTCGGCAAACTGCCGATTCGGCAGATTGACCTTTCGGCAAATTGGCATTTCGGCAAACTGGTATTTCGGCAAATTGGCATTTCGGCAAATTGGCATTTCGGCAAATTTACATTTCGGCAAATTGACATTTCGGCAAAGTTACATTTCGACTAATTGATATTTCGGCAAATCGCATTTCGGCAAATTTACATTTCGACTAATAAGCATTTCGGCAAATTGGCATTTCGGCAAAAAGGCATGTCGGCAAATGGCATTTCGACTTTTAGCATTTCGACTTTTTGACACGTCGGCAAAAAGCACATCGGCAAAATGACATTCGGCGAAATGCATTCGGCAAAATGACATTCGGCAAATCGCCTTTCGGCAATTTGTCCGGACACCTTACTATATACGTCATGCTCGAAGGCAGACTGTATTAGAATAATGAACATTAATCCCTATTAATGCTATGATTTTCCTGTAGATTTTGTCTGCGAAGATGGGGCGACATTATTGCTGTTGTTATTCATCATCATCATCATTTATTTCGTTTGGAAGCTCCATGCACTCACGGCTTTTCAGTCCAAGTGTCATACAGTAAATAGGTAGGCACATATAGGTATAAAGCTAAAATAAACACTTAAGCTAAAAGTAAAAACCATGAAAAGCATGGGACTTAAAAAGTAAAATGCATATCGGTACAAATGACCGAAAGCTACGCGCACAGTGACTAGTCACCATTGAGTAATAGTCGACAACGCCTGCGACAAGTGGCCGACGTGCGCGACGACCGAATGTCTGCTGGCAGCGAGTTCCAAACGTCACAGGCGCGGTAATAAAAGAACTTGCGAGCATGTTCGGTGCGGACCCTCGGCAGTTCGAGCTGCATATTCTCAGTGGCTCGAGTCTGTCTGCTCGACACGTCGCTGCGTTGTACAAACCGCTCAGAGAGGCACTTCGGTGCATGAACATTATTCAACAAGTAATGCACAGTACTGCAGTCATTCTCCGCCTCCGCCATATTGTTCCAACGGCAACATCTATTATTGGCTATTGCATGCTTCTCTGCAGCCTGTTGGGCTTATCACAAAATCGACAACGTTAACCGGTTGCACTACTTTTTCTAGGTACGTAAGAGCTAACGGTACTCCACAGTCCACACAAAGTGACAACGTTTGTTGTTGAGGTTCAGCTGTCATGGTACGATCGCCAAGCAAGATAACATCATTACCGAACCGATTGTTTCACAGATCAGCGACGCCATGCTGTTTGATTTCAGCCGTGGTTTCCCCGTATCCATGTGGACTGTATCGCAAATCATTCGTGCCACGTTGTTTTATTTCAGGCGTGTTACGGTTGCCCCAGTAGCCGGACTGTTGTTTTATTTCAGGCAAGTCACGGCTGCCCCAGTAACCATGCGGACTGTCCCTCATGTTGTTGACGCCATGTTGTTTTATTTCAAGCGTGTTACGGTTGCCCAAGTAACCGGTCCGTTTGATTCACGGACCAGTGATGCCATGTTGTTTTATTTCAGGCGTGTTACGGTTGCCCCAGTAACCATGTGGACTGTCTTATAGATCAGTGACGCCATGTTGTTTTATTGCAGGCGTGTTACGGTTGTCCTGGTAACCGGTCCGTTTGATTCACAGACCAGTGACGCCATGTTGTTTTATTTCAGGCGTGTTACGGTTGCCCCGGTAACCGGACCGACTGTTTCCGGCCCCACTGTGTCGCCGGAGACGGGATGAGGCGGGGTCTGGTGACCGTCAATCGACAGATGCCCGGGCCACCTGTCGAGGTAAAATAAAAACTACCTACCTGACCAAGTCGTGAGCATCTTAGGGATTAGATCTAGTAAAGGCTAAAGCAGCATCAAATCATCCGACATCCATTGGTTGACAGTTAGTGTAAAGAAGCTATCAGTCAGTCTGAAGTGAGTTAGTCCGGTGGTGGTGCGGTGCCCTTTATTGAAGGAGCGTCATAACTTTGCTCAATAAGTGATGACATGACATTTTCTCCGAAAGAGAAAGCCGTTTGAGTGTCGCGGTTTTGCAGTTTTTGTCTTGCAGCCCCAGTGCTCTACCCGGTCTGTGTTCAGATTGATATCCAACCCTTGTTCATTGAGCAGCCAGCATGCATGTCAACGAACAGCTTCGTGTACATACACGTGTGTACATATAAACAAACCGCTGTCGTTCTGGACCCGCTGACCAGGTGTGCGAGGGTGACACGATCGTGGTCGACCTGGAGAACCACCTGGGCAGCGAGACGTCCAGCATCCACTGGCACGGCATGCACCAGGAGGGCACTCAGCACATGGACGGGGTGCCGCACGTGACGCAGTGCCCCCAGCTGCCCGGCACCGTGTTCCGCTACACCTTCCGGGCAGACAACCCCGGCACTCACTTCTGGCACTCACACTCCGGTGAGTGAGTGAGTGAGTGAGTGAGTGAGTGAGTGAGTGAGTGAGTGAGTGAGTGAGTGAGTGAGTGGGCGGGTGAGTGAGTGAGTGAGTGAGTGAGTGAGTAGTAAGTATTTGCTTGTACTACATCAGCGAGACGGTATGATGTACCTATGATGGAATTTTGAATGAATTATCTGTCTCGGATCAGATTTAAACGCCATCAGATTTTCCCCTTCTTCGTGTTTTCAATGCCAAGACGCCATCACCTTTTGCCCTCCCGCAGAATTTCTTAAAAGTGCAGCGTCCCTACACGTCCTTCCATCCGCATGATTTAAAAATTACTATGTTCTTACCTTTCTTCTTCCCTCAGTATTTCAGGGGTCGGACGGCGCCCTCACCTCTCTCCTCCCTTAGGACGGCGCCCTCACCTCCCTCCCCCTGGTTTCCAGCGGTCGGACGGCGCGTACAGTGCCCTCACATCTCTATACCAACAGGACGGCGCCCTCACCTTTCTCTCCCTCCCTCAGGTTTCCAGCGGTCGGATGGCGCGTACAGTGCCCTCACCTCCCTCCCTCCTTCAGGTTTTCAGCGTTCAGACGGCGCTTACGGCGCGCTCACCATCCGGCAGCCGAAGGAGTTGGACGTCCACGGTGCCCTCTTCGACACGGACCTCTCCGAGCACCTCATCCTGCTCACCGACTGGATCAAGGAGATGGCCGTCGAGAGGTGAGGAGCGGGGAATCTGTGGTGGAATCGTGTGATGACCTGCTGTATTTACGTAAAAGGGAAATATCCACAGGTTGGGACTTTTCAATTGAGACAATCACTATTCTTTAGAATTGTGATTTTCTATTGAAAATCCCAACCTGAGCTACCTCTCTTATAGAGGGGTGTATGCCTAGGTATTTTCCCTTCTGTGCGTGTCTATTTCATGTTTTTCAAGTGAATTGCAGTTACTTTCGTATTACGTGATTCACATTCCTTCATCTTTTATCAACATAAATAGGCTATCGATGGCAATAAATAGGTCACAGCTGTGACCTTAAATACCAAACAGCTCAGTAATTTAGGATAAAGTTCTTCCTCTATCGACAGTTTAAGGTTAATGGCCGCAATAAATGGCACACTAGGCATGAGGGAAATAAGCTCAATAGACTAACCATTTACAGAGGCATACGATTTGAGAGAAGGAAACTCTTTTTAATCATAAGTGAACTGTCGAGTAAAATTGAAATTATGACCGGCTAAATTGTGAGGGGAAAATTATTGGCTTCTCATCTGAGCGTGTTTTTATAGTTTTTATATCGCAATCAATGCATCAAAGGCGCATCAAATACATCAACCTATATTTCAACGTAAATCAAACGTGCGCTTAGTATTGCTAGATACGTGTAGTATGGCATCGTTCCCGTCCGTTTACCCGTCGCGCGCCGTTTCAGGTTTGTCTCGCACCACCACTCGCTGGGTACCAACAAACCGGAGACGATTCTCATCAATGGCCGGGGCAGGCCGGTGGGGCACCACCGCAACAGCTCCCACACGCCGCTAGCCGAGTTCGTCGTCAAACAGGTCAGAGGTCACCGAAAATAGTCAGGGCCACTTGGTTACTGTAGGTCAGCGCGCACAGCCTGCCAGGTTTGTCTTTAGCCGGCACGGTTTTCAGTATTCAGTTACGCCATTTCGAAGTCATGAAGCCATGCATATAATCTATACTCTGTTCCGTTTCAAGTTTGCAGCCGAAGTGCCCTGCTGAAAGCAGTGCGTGATTTCTGTATATACAGCTCTTACATTTTAAGAAGCAAATTCTTGAGCGGAGTAGCGACCTGCCGAAGAAACTCCGACTGCAAGCTTGATATATGGAACAGACTATAGCGAAAAACATTTTTTTTTTTTTTTGTTCAAACCTTTTGAGTGGAAGTATTCACAAGGACAGAGTCCCCGCTAAACGAAACTTGTTGCGTTTACCCGGCCTCTACCCTCCGATCGCACAATTCCGGTTCTTTGGCAGAAAGTCCAAAGTTTAACGTGCGCACTGCGCACATAACCGCGCACGGCCGGTCCCCTCACTGACTTCGCCTGGCTACGGCCTGCCACCAACCGCAACCATACCGGTCAGGAGGCCCATAAACGTCAAGCGCCCGTCGCGCTTCGAACCCGGACTGTTATAACCGGGAAAGCGTGCTCTCACCACGCGGAGTCAAACGCTCTACCGACTGAGCTGCGGGACCGGCAACTCCTTCAATATCGTTCTTGATCGCGCGATGATGATTGCATCCAATCTCCTCTTCTGATCCGAGACCGCCACTAAACATAAGGAATTGATCAACCTCCCACCCCGATTCTGCGTTGGTCCTAGACGACCCCGTGACATTGGTACGTTCCAGTGAATGCATCTACCATTCTGGCATCGATTTTGATGCAGGATAAGCAGAATGCATAAATGCACGATGCATACGCGGTCGCATACGGGATAAATCTTATATAACACGACGACGTTGTATAACATCGCGACACTGTATATCATCACATGAGGGAAATACGGTGAAACGTATGTAGAAGGCAGGTCCTTCATTTGAAGGGTATTTGTTGTTTATAATTCGTATCCGCTGTTTGTTTGCATGAATACTGAATAGGGTATTTCTGGTGAATTCAGTTACATAAAGATGCAAAGGACCTTAGACAAATATTCATGTTTTTGATGACCGCCGATGATCTCGCTGCCTTGCGGTGACTCCTCCTGAACTTATCTGACCTTTGGTGACCCCTGCTGAATCAATCCCTGCTAACCCATGCATCCCCACCTGACCTCTGGTGACCTCGATGACCTCTGCTGGCCCTGGTGACCTCTGCTGACCCCTGGTAACCTCTGCTGAACCCTGGTGACCTCTGCTGACCCCTGCTGACTTATGGCAGTCTTTGATAACCCAATTCTAACCCACCTTACCCCTGCTGTTCTCTGGTGACCCTGATGACCCTTGATGACCCCTGGTAATCTCTGTTGATTCTTGCTGGCCTTTTTGTGACCTCTAGTGACCACTGCTGACCCCTGGTGACCCCTACGGGCCGCTAGGTAGTGACCCCTGATATCCTTGCTGACTCCTGTTGACCTCGGCTGACCCCTTCTGACTCCTACCGACCCTTGCTGACCTCTGGTGGCCTCTACGGACCTCGGCTGACCCCTGTTGACCCCTGGTGATCTCTGGTGACCTCTGGTGACCCCTGCTGACCTCCGCTAACCCCACAGGGCCTTCGGCATCGTCTGCGTCTCATCAGTAACGGCGTGATGAACTGCCCTCTGTCGGTATCAGTGGACAACCACACCCTCACGGTGATCGCGTCTGACGGCTACAACGTGCAGCCCGAGCTGGGTGAGAGGGACTCCACCGACACTGGGGTCGGTAGACACCGACACTGGGGTTGGTAGAGTGAGGGGTTCGCCGACACTGGGGCCGGTAGGGTGATGGAGTAGTAAAGGAATCTTGGGGTGATGGGTCCAACGACAATGGGGACGGTGTTTTATTTTGAAGACCGGCATGTTATTTTATTTCTCCAAATATTCTGAAGGGCACGCGTGTCTCCTTTTCTGTCCGTTGTCTATTTTTTATTATGAAAATATTCCACTATCACGATACAGTCGAGGAATCGCAACTTCGTGCGACCGACATCAACGGCCACGTTTTCGTCATTGTGCGGAAGCTCCGTCATGCTTTCAATCGGAGGATTTCTGGACATTCCAACTGGAAATGGAACCGGCCTGCATATCATGACCGAATCGGGACCGCCCATATGTTCCCTGGTCCAGCTTGCAGATCCCTATAATCCCCAATCGGTATTTGGCATCGTAAGCCTGGCACATTTTCCGTATGTTATCTCTAATGCCGATATGGCAACCACTTAAAGTAGGTGCCTACCGTTCAGTTGGGAAAGTGTAGACTTGGAGTATTGTCATGAAAATATCTGATGTCATAAGACAACTGCGTAGAATTATAATGCTACTGCTCAGCTTTACTTAAATTTGCTAAGGTAATACAATCCTTGAGTGTCAAGAGAGAAAATTTGGTAGCTAAATTTTTGGTGTTTGGAAGAGAAAAAATGGTAGATTCAGAGAAACTGAAACTGCCATTGGTTTCATTGCTTTCTAAATTTTGTCCAAAATTTCATACAATCTTTAACAGCGAGGTGATGTAGGTATCACATCACTATCACTAGTTATCCTATCACTAGTTACCTATCACTAGTTACCTTTGCTGACCTCAAAGTGTCCCTCATAAGGCCCTGTGGTGTATAATCACCAGCCTGTCAGAATTGGTGACCACGTCGTCGTGGCTGATGTTTGACCTGATGGGAGTCGACCACGAGTGGATGACGAAGCCTCCTGGGGAGTGGGAAGGTCACGAGGCGTACATCCTATGCAAGGAATTCGTGAAAACAGTGAAAGTCGTGAACGACACCGCGGAGAGGGGCATCGCTCTTCTGAAAACATTCGCTCAGCATGTGAAGGGGCAGGACCAATTCCAGTGGCTTCTGCAGGCTGTGGAGAGGCACAGGCGTGCAGTGCCACACATGACAAAGGCAGCCCTGGCTACCCTGTGACTGGGTTCGATGAGAAACGGTGTTGAGGCCCGGTACCGAAATACATGTTTTGCCGTCACTGACGTACCTACCAGTGTTTTAATTACTGTTAAGTTGTCGTGTCCTGAATAATGAGTTATGTCTGTGTATGTTAATCTGAGCACCAGAATATGCGACGACACTTTTATGGAAGCGCAGGTACCATATTCAACCTTCACAGTGTCATAAAATACCGGTTAATACCACCTCTTGCACGGCCGTATTTTCTTGGTGTTAGTGCCCTACTTGCAATTGCTCTAACATGGGTGACTTCAACGCCGAACGGCACAAAAATTGAAAACTTTAGCGAATTATCGCGACGTTTAGAATCGAGTTTAAAATCGAATAATTGCCACCAAATTTTATTAAAAAGATGAAATAATGGGAATCCGATGGAGGAGAGACAATCTGAGAAAAAAGTGAAAAGTGAAACACCCTAGCCCGCGCCCGGCTGGGGGTCCTGGATTTCCACGCCCTGCTGGGGGGGGGGGTGTTTGAACCCCCCCCCCCTTCTAACTCGGCTCCTGGGCCACGTAGCGATACGCGGAAGGCGGCGTTCGAAAGAGCGTCAAAAATAATGACGAAATCACTTCGGTCAATTTTTTGGTCAGGTCAAAGGTCAGGTCACCAGAGGTCATTGAAGGCAAAATTTCGCCGATTTCCAGGTCGAATGTCGACAATTTCCAAGAAGCCAACGCATAACTCGGGAACCAATAGAGCTACAGCGCCGCGGAAAAGCGCATTCGATAGCCCTATTAACGCCCTTTCTGTGTAATTCTCTCAGATTTGACCTAACGTCAACGGTTTTGCCTGCAGGGGGCAAAAACTGCAAAAATAGCCGATTTTTTCGGAAACAGTTTTTCTGCAATAACTTTTGACCCAAGCCTTCTACGAGCTTACTTTTACCGGCATCGTGTTCCTCTCGTCAAGACGCATCGAATGAACTAAAATTTGACCTTGAAAGGTCAACTTGAAAATTTGACCTCAGGTCAAGGTCATGACCTGACCGGAAAGGGTCATGTTGCACATCAGTCGATCCGTATCGTCGAGCTGAACACATCTAAGGCGTTTTCATCGCTCTAGCATGCCTCTATCAAAAGTTATTTGCGAAAAACTGTCAGATACCATTCGTGACCTAAGATGACCTCAGGGCATAAATAGGGGTCACGGACACCATTTTCATGTTCAGTGTGTCTAAACCACTTGTAATTCAGTGTTTGGGAGTGTTTATAATGTCTTTCGTCCAAAAGAGGCGCATTTCAATTTTCTCCCATTGACTTATAATGGGGAGGTCGCAAAATTGACCTGACCTTAGGTCATCGATATCAAAATTCTGAGATATACATTTTGTACTTGCTATTGCTCTTAGCAATCGCTGAAAGTTTCAAAGCGATCGGTCACTCGGTGTAGCTATGACAGACATTGAAACTTTTTATGAGGTGAGGTCACTTCAAGTGACCTGGTGACCTGACCTTGAATGACCTTGGTCTGAAATTTTCACAACATGTGTAGAATTGATGTATGATAAGGTGTACCAAAAACGGCGGCGCTCCGCGCCGCCGTTTTTGAGATATTCGCGAAAAACCACAAGGGGGGTGTTCAAACACCCCCCCCCCGAGCAGGGCGCGGGCTAGTGTATATCAATACACCTTTAGCGATATGACGTCATTCTGACCTCACACCGTCACTGTGTGTCCGGCAGCCGACTCGGTGGTGGTGTACGCCGGGGAGCGTTATGACGTCATCCTGACGGCCGACCAGCCGCCCGGAGTGTACTGGATGAAGGTGCAGGGTCTGATGGACTGCGACGAGCGGTACACCCTGGCACACCAGGTGGCAGTGGTGCGGTACGAGGGCGCCGAGCAGTCGGTACCCGAGCAGGACATCAGCTACTGGACCACCAAACGAGACGGCAGGGTCAGTAACTACCAAACGGGACGGCAGGGACAGTAACTAACTACCAGACGGGACGGCAGGGTCAGTAACTAACTACCAGGCGGGACGGCAGGGTCAGTAACTAACTACCAGACCGGACGGCAGGGGCAGTAACTAACTACCAGACGGGACGGTAGGGGCAGTAACTAACCACCAGACGGGACGGCAGGGGCAGTAACCACCAGACAGGGTCAGTAACTACCAGACGGGACAGCAGGGTCAGTACATACACAGGAGCTGTTGTGGGGACTTTGGTAGCCGTTGGAGAGCCCTCAGATAGCAGAAAAGGGCCCTTTGAGACCAACACTGGGTCCCTACTCCCTATACCTGGAAATGAATATCAAATACCTGGAAATGAATATAAATATTTAACTTCAATTAAAGGCTAGGCAATGGCGGTCATGTAGTGTCGCGACGCGAAACATTGAAGTCTAGCAGGGGTGTCGATTTTTCAAAATGGTTGGGGGTGCTCAACCCCTGCACCGGGTGAAAGATTGTAGCTTTGCCATGGGGCACAACCGTACCTATGTACAAGGCATGGTTGTGTATCCCCATAAGGTACTGATAATCCCGGGATTTCCACTAATATTTCCCAAAGGTTGAACGTTCTTCAAAATCATTCTGCTCGTCCTAGTACTTGGCTACCTCATTACATAAACATCTTTCCGAAAAAAAACGCGTAAATTTGCCGGCAGCTCGGCAGCAGCCCCGGCACCTCTGTAATAAGGTGACAGAAACCGATGACCGCGATTAGCACCGGTGCAGCAGCCCCTGCGGTCCGCAGGGGCGGACATTGCGCGGGAGGCAACGGTATAGCTACGAGGCTTTGGCGTTTATCAGACGATCACAATAATCGCTGAAAATAACAGGTGATTGCATTTCGATATTTATGGGTTTACGATTTTCCTCAGTGGCATAGCCAGGTGGGCCCGTGAGCCCCTCCCCCCCGCCCCATCAGGTTCAGGGGCCCATCGGATTATTCGGGCCTGAGGGGCACTGCGGCGCCAATTGGCCACTGAGGGTCCACGTTGGCTATGCTCGTATTTGGACTCAGAAGGGCCCCACAGGGCTCGTAAGAACACCTCATGGGCCCTCAAGTACTAACATTAAGATCTCCATAAGGGCCCCAAGCCAGCCTCTGAGGGCCACTTGCGGCCGGCCTCTGAGGGTCTTAACCGGCCTCTAGGGGGCCAGCTCTAGGAGCTGCACACCCGCCTGTAATGGCCCCACACCCATTTCTCTGAGGGCCCCTATAACGGCGACTGTGAGGGCCCTCACCGGCGCCCCTGAGCGCCACATCGGCGTCTCTGAGGGCCCCACACCCCTAACTCTGAGGCCCTATGCCAATGCCTTTAAAAACCCTACATGGGCGGACGCGGTTCTGAGGGCCCTTGACAGTTACCAGCGACCCTGACGGCCCCACACAGGTGACACGGAGGGTCCCAGCGGCGTCTGAGCGCACCATGCCAGTCTCTGAGAACCCCACAAGGCTGCTGAAGGCACCGGTGACCTCTTGATATCTTCTTGTCGGCCTATGAAGGATCCGTTCCGTAACAGCAGTTCTGAGGGCCCAACGCGCGCCTGTGATGGCCCTAAACCAGTGTCTCTGAGAGCCCCCACACCGGCGCCTCCAGTCCGAGGGCCCCACACTAGTGCCTCTTAAGGCCCTATATCGGCGGCTCTGAGGGCCCAACATCGTAGCTTCTGAAGGCCCCACAAGTGCGCATGTGACGGCCACCCTGCCACCGGTGACATTTGAAGGCCCCACACCGGCGACTCTGAGGGCCCCATCAGCGCCTGAGCCCGTTCCGGTCTCTAAAGATGACCCCACAGGGTTTCTGAAGGTACCACCGGCCTCTGATGACCCTTTGCCGGCCTCTGAGGGCCCGTCGCCGGTCTCTGGAGCCCCCTGCCGGCTTGTTAAGGGTACGCGCCAGCAGCTCTAAGGGTCCGACACCCGTGTACGACGGACCCACACCATCTTTGCAACTTAACGTCTTTTTTCGCCCTTCTTCTTAAATCTAACTTTTCTTTTCTTTACATCTTTATTTCATGCCTTGTAAATTGCGTAATTGTTTTATTTTTAGTAGTGAACTACTGCAGAAAAATTATTTTCCTCAAGCAGAGTTGGTGGGAGTTATTGAGGGACAAAATCATTGGGGGTGCCCGGAAAACCATTGGGGGTGCTCATTTGAGCATTGGGGGTGCTGCAGCACCCCCAAAGGTATACAAATCGACACCCATGTCTAGACTCGACTGTGTGTGGTGTTCCAGTCGTTCAAAATCAGCAATACAAAGCAAATCGGATGTGGAATCTGCCCTTTCACTTGTGCCTGCCTGCAATACCAACGCCGTTTTTATAATGTATTCCCCGATACCCCTTGTCGTGCCCGGGTGATAAAGTCGACCAGAGACGTTCTCTGACGTGCCGAACCACGTCTGTGCGGCCGTGGCCGGCCGTGCTCGGTCACAGTCGGCCGTGCTCGGTAATACCCCCGGTCAACGTTCCCCGGAGAGGGGCGTGCTCTCAGCACAGTCTGATGGAGAGCGAAGTCCGTGCAGGTGCGACGTAACCTTGCCGGCCCGGACAAGGTGTTCGCCGTGTATTGATGAGCTGACACCTCTCTCAGTGCAGTGAGGTAGCCTCAGTCGACATGGTGACACCTAATGGTGAATAAAGAGTGTGCCAGAGGTGCTTCGATGCATGCATAATAACTGATCGGTACCTTCATACTATGATATGCCAGTCACTTTGTTTACTTACGGTAGGTATTCATGGCCACTTTGGTTCACCGTTACGCTAAGAGAAACATTGCAATTCGATTAGCAATAGCAGCAATAAGTTCCGATCTAAAGTTATGCTCCCGATTGGCTCTGGCGTTGCTAAAATTACCCTGTTGCCAGCGCAGACATACCCATTTTTACCCAGATCACGTCCTTGTGCGTGCTCCGCAGAAATCAGTCGTCATGCAATTCAAATGGCGCCTCCGCTGCGCAGAAGGTACTGATTCGTCGTGACGAGGACGCGTCTGTCCACTTGCAATGCAGAACAGACCGGAATCGTGCAAAGGCCAGGAGCAGGAACCTGTCCTGTGTCCTACAACGCTCGCAGCTTTTAGGGAAATGTGGCCGGTAGGGCTAGTTTTCACAGCGTTTCCAGAGATCCTGGGGATTAGTTGACAGTCGTCCTTTAAAACCCTGGCATGTGTAGGGGGGGGGGGTCGGATGGACCCCCCATGGTTTTTCGCGAATAACTCGCGTAAAAAGCGGCCGATCGCGACGAAACTTTCAGTACCTTCGCATTTATCAATTTTACACCTACCCTGAAAATTTCATGACCCTGACCCAAATGACCTTTGACCTGTGACCTCTTTTCCGAGACCATGTTTGGCCGGAATCGCGATTTCGCGTATGTCGGCTCGCATTAGCCGCGCGTTTGCAAGCTTTTCGTGGGTTCAAACGTTCAAATATGTGATTTGATGTTGCTCCCATACATTAGGGTGGGTATCAAGGTCACCTGAAGGTCAGGTCAGGTCATTGACCTTTGGTGACCTCGGGTGACCTCTGTTCACTTTTTCGAGTTTTACATGTTTCTAGGCTAGTTTTTGGAGCTGAATTCGAATTTAGCAACCATTTGAACAGTTACGAAGTAGTTTTGGTGACTTCGTAACATGTTACGAAGCTGTCAGAGGCGGTTGACACGTACTACGAATACCCGTCACGACGCCTACTGGTTGACCTGACCTGACCTAACCCGACCTGGTCTAAATGCTTAAAGACATCATCTGTGATCAAAACTAACACGATATTCGTCATCAGCACCCCGAAAAACCCCTTAGCAGCCACACTTTACCACTTTCTAACAGGCCCCGATTTTCCCGACTCTGGGTCATTGACCTGACCTGGAAGGTCACCCAATGACCTAGGACCTTAAAATTGGGTATCATCGGCTTCCTCTCGTCACGGGCAACACGCTCGTTTTTTCCGCGAAGCTCTAGCTCGATCAGGGGCCAAACGGCAAGGGGGGGGTCCAACCGACCCCCCCCCCCCTACACATTAGAAGCTGGCAAACGCCGCACACATGCGAGGGTTAACACGCGCAGTGGAAGGGTTGCGAGTACTACATACGCCCAGTGGAAGGGGGGGCGGATGTCGCCCCCCCTAAGATCTCAGCTCCCACTGGAGCTAGAAGGACGAAATTTGGAGGGTAGGTGGGGGCCATGGGGAACTCTGTTGTGTGTGAATTTCATGACCCTAGGTCAATATCTTCAAGGTCAAATGTGGTCAAATGTGGTCAAATCTGCCATATAAGCGACTTTTTTTGCGTTTACACGCCGATAACTCAAAAAGTTACCGGCCTATTTTTTTAATCTTTCACTATACGAAAGAACAAACATTTGTGAGTATGTATGGTGAATTTCTAGATAATCCAACAATAAATATGGCAGTTAGAAGCCTGCTAAGGGTAAGATGTCGCCGGCTGAAGCGGCATCGGCCGACGCGGGAAAAGCGGCAATCACAATTTTGTGTTTACACACTCATAAGTCATAACTCAAGTTGTTACCGGCCGATTTTCGAAATTCTTTGACCATATGATTGCCTGTACATTTTTCAGTCTTCTCACCGAATTTGACGCGAATCTGATATAATCAACGGTAAGGAGCGCGATGTAAAGACGGAACCGTCCCGCCCCGGCACAGTCTACAATTCAGGCGGCGCGTAACGGCTAGCGCCGGCCGCCGCGCCGCCGCGCCGCCGCGGCGGCAGGATGTTTGACTTTACACCGCTATTACTAGGAAAGTTGTGAACCGATTTTCTTACTTCTTGCACGAGAAGATCCGCAATTCAATTCTGGGCAGGTAGCCGAAATTTCACATTGATATTATGCTTGCGGCGCGAGTTATTGGCGAAAAACAGGAGGGGTGGGCGAAATCCGCCCCCCCCCCCCCCCTTCCACTGCGCGTGTTAAATCCATGTCTTGAGATCGACTAAAAAAAGAAAATCGAATAAAACATGGCATAGATAAGCGAAACCCACCAACTGAAATCAGAGCTTGCTTTTATGGATTAACCCTCGCCGGCACAGGGGGGGGTGATGCAACCCCCCTAAGGTTTTTCGCGAATAACTCGCGTAAAAAGCTGCCGATCGCGACGAAACTTTCAGTACCCTCGCATGGATCAATTTTACACCTACCCTGAAAATTTCATGACCCTGACCCCAATGACCTTTGACCTGTGACCTCTTTTCCGTGACCATGTTTGGCCGAAATCGCGATTCGGCGTATGTTGGCTCGCATTAGCCGCGCGTTTGCAAGCTTTTCGTGGTTTCAAACGTTCAAACATGTGATTTGATGTTGCTCCCATGCATTTGGGTGCGTGTCAAGGTCACATGAAGGTCAGGTCAGGTCATTGACCTTTGGTGACCTCGGTTCACTTTTTCGAGTTTTACATGTTTCTAGGTTAGTTTTTGGAGCTGAATTCGAATTTAGCAACCATTTGAACATTTACGAAGTAGTTTTGGTGCCTTCGTAACATGTTACGAAGTTGGCAGAGGCGGTTGACACGTATTACGAATACCCGTCACGACCCCTACCGGTTGACCTGACCTGACCTGACCTGACCTGACCTGACCCGACCTGGTCTAAACGCTTAACGACATCATCTGTGATCAAAACTAACACGATATTCGTGATCAGCACCCCGGAAAACCCCCTAGCAGCCACGCTTTACGACTTTTTAACAGGTCCCGATATTCCCGATTTTTGGGTCATTGACCTGACCTGGAAGGTCAACCGATGACCTAGGACCATAAAATTGGGTATCATTGGCTTCCTCTCGTGACGGGCAACACGCTTGTTTTTTCCGCGAAGCTCTAGCTCCATCAGGGGCCAAACGCGAGGGGGTCGTACCAACCAACCCCCCCCCCCTTGTGCCGTCGAAGGACTCAAAATGGCCTGTGCCGGCGAGGGTTAAGGTCTTCTATAGCATACACCGAAACAAACGTCAGCTGGCCTGTTCTTTGAGGCTTAATGACATATATGTATAGTGATCGATCGGAAACGCTGGAGTGATGCTTGCATTGTATTAAAGTTTCACTCATAGAGTCAGAGCAGTAAAATAGCACACTGCAAATAAACTACGAAATGTGCCATATTACGCACACTGTTTTTACCACTTAAAAACGCTACAGCTACCAATATCGTTTCGTATATTGGATGGTGTGTTGTTGACGACTCACATTTTCCGTCTGTGTCTGCCACTGACAGCAAGTATCGCCATTTAACGACGTGGAACACACGGCTCTAAAGCTGCCCGTCTCACAGCTGAAGTCGCTGCACGACGACGACGTGACGTCCGCCGAGCACGCCGACGTCAAGTTCTACCTGGACTACGACTTCAACCAGGTGGACAACAAGCACTTCCACCACCGGCAGCACTACTCCGTCTTCAGCGGTGGGTGCCGGCCGACCAACTGGAGCCTAGTTATCGGCTCTAGACTGGTGTGAGAGACGGAACCGAGCCAACAGTTATAATTTGATAGTTTTGTATCTACAGACAATTTGTTTCACTGGGTGAAGTGGAAATATTTTCTAAGCAGCTTCTGCTGCGAACGGCATATCAATGGTAGTGATGGCAGGCGTGAATAACTCTTTAAAACTTTATTTTGCTGCAATTTGGTCGTCGTTTTGAAATTTCGAAGAGAAAAACATTAAAAGGTTTAGAATTAGGCACTTCTTAGAGTTATGTTGATATATTTAGTGTAGACGTCTTTGATCATGGAGTTAACCCGCGCCCGGCTGGGGGTCCTGGATTTCCACGCCCTGCTGGGGGGGGGGGGGTGTTTGAACACCCCCCCCCCCCTTCTAACTCGGCTCCTGGGCCACGTAGCGATACGCGGAAGGCGGCGTTCGAAAGAGCGTCAAAAATAATGACGAAATCACTTCGGTCAATTTTTTGGTCAGGTCAAAGGTCAGGTCACCAGAGGTCATTGAAGGCAAAATTTCGCCGATTTCCAGGTCGAATGTCGACAATTTCAAAGAAGCCAACGCATAACTCGGGAACCAATAGAGCTACGGCGCCGCGGAAAAGCGCATTCGATAGCCCTATTAACGCCCTTTCTGAGTAATTTTCTCAGATTTGACCTAACGTCAACGGTTTTGCCTGCAGGGGGCAAAAACTGCAAAAATAGCCGATTTTTTCGGAAACAGTTTTTCTGCAATAACTTTTGACCCAAGCCTTGTACGAGCTTACTTTTACCGGCATCGTGTTCCTCTCGTCAAGACGCATCGAATGAACTATAAGTTGACCTTGAAAGGTCAACTTGAAAATTTGACCTCAGGTCAAGGTCATGACCTGACCGGAAAGGGTCATGTTGCATATCAGTCGATCCGTACCGTCGAGCTGAACACATCTAAGGCGTTTTCATCGCTCTAGCATGCCTCTATCAAAAGTTATTTGCGAAAAACTGTTAGATACCATTAACATAACATAACATATATTACAATGTAACAACAGGCTACAGGAGCCCAACAAGGTTACAAGGATGAAATACACAGTGATGTACACATTCATGCACACTGAACAAGATTTACATGACAATGAATGCAATGAGTGTATCCTAACAACGAAACCTATCAGAGTTGTCTACGTCTTCAATGGTGTCAAAGACCGCACCACGCTCCGTAAAATACAAATCCACGTTATGTTTGAATTTGTTAAGGGAGGAACTATCAATAACCCAAGGAGGTAAGCTATTCCACATATCAATGACGCGGTTAGTAAAAAAGGATTGCCTTAAACGCGTTTTTGAAAATTTCTTTACCAATTTACATCCATGTCCTCTTGTAGAGTTCGAACTTATCGTGAATAAGCTCTTAAAATCTAGCTTATCAATGCCTCTATAAATTTTGAACAATTCAATCAAATCACCTCTCACTCTCCGGTAATGGAGTGAAAACATATTTAACGAGACAAGCCTTTCTCTGTAAGTCATCCCGCGAAAACCATGCACCATCCTAGTGGCCTTCCTCTGCACACGCTCTAGAGACTTGGCGTCTTTTTTAAAGGGCGAGTACCATGCCTGTGCACAATACTCTAAATGTGGACGAACAAGAGAACAATAAAGTTTTTTCATGACGTCTTTACTTTTATAATTAACGTTTCTATATATTACTCCCAACATTTTCAGAGACTTTTTACGGGCTTCTTGACATTGATGACTGAATTTTAGATCATTTGTGATTAAAACACCTAAATCTCTTTCTTCAAAAACATTTTGCAGTTGACTGCCGTTTAAATAATATCGATCATTTTCATTTACCCCAACGCTAAGAACTTTGCATTTCTCTACGTTAAATTCCATCTGCCATTTTCTGCTCCAATTGAAAAGAATGTTTAAATCTGATTGTAATGTTTTCATGTCCTCGTCTGATGTAATTGCTTTTGCCAGCTTAATGTCATCAGCAAATTTCCAAAGCCTACTGCTTAAATTATTATCCAGAGAGTTTACAAAAATAATAAAGAGCAATGGGGCTAGAACCGTACCTTGTGGTACACCACTCTTAACCTCCGCCCACTCAGACTGTTGTCCATTCAAAACAACTCGCTGCTTACGTCCTACCAGCCAGGTCTCTATCCATCTAAGGAGGAAACCGTCTAAGCCATGACACTGTAATGAAACTAATAATCTTTGATGTGGAACCTTGTCGAAAGCTTTACAAAAATCTAAATACACTACTGCTACCTTCTGTCCCCTGTCTAATAGCTCTGTTACATATTCGAGAAAGTCTAGCAAATTTGTCAGACACGATCGTCCAGCTCTGAATCCATGTTGAGAAGGCAATAAAAGTTCATTTTGCTCTAAGTGATTCAGTATATTACATTTTATTATTTTCTCGAGTATTTTACAAGCGATAGAAGTTAAGCTAACAGGCCTATAATTTTCAGCCTTAGTTTTACTACCCCCCTTAAAGATTGGTACCACGTACGCATGCTTCCAGTCTTCAGGTATAATACCTGTTTCAAATGAGTGTTTGAATATTATATAAAGAGGCACGGAAAGCTCTTTTGCAGCTTCCTTTAGTATTCTTGCTGAAATAGCATCGGGACCACAAGCCTTATTTGCTTTAAGGCTTTCGAGATGTTTCAAGATGTCGGTTTGAACTAAATCGATAGTTGTAAGTTTGCTGAACAGTCTGGCATCATTTCTACTTATTGGCATATTTGCTAGACACTCATCAGTAAAAACACTTGAAAACTGCTCATTAAATGTCCTAGCTTTGAGCTTATCTTCATGATAAACTTGCCCATCTTTTTCTATTAACCCGATTCTTGGATCATGCCTGTTAAATTTATAAAAACCGAAAAACCGCTTGAGATCACCTCCACATTCATTTGCCAATCTAATCTCAGCTGCTCGTTTGGCCTCTCGAATTATCTTTTTGAGTCTCGATCTGGCTTTGATATAATGCGATTTATTGTCAGCCGATGGAGCTGTTTTGAAGAGACGAAATGCTGTTTTCTTTTCACTAAAACTCTTTTGCACATTACTGTTAAACCAAATTGGCTTTAATGGTTTTCCTGACAGATTTCTTTTCATAGGAATAAAAAGATCTTGGGCCTCTGCTATTGTTGTTTTGAAAATACTCCACATTTCGTGAACATTTTTCCCTTCAAGCATTCGTACCCATTTCATGCTTCTAAAAAATGCCCGAATAGCTTCATAATTTCCTTTTGCAAAATTTTGGGTAAGGTTTTGTCTGATGCTTGTTCTCTTTAATTTACATTTAATGTTGAACCTTATAATCACATGGTCACTGTTACCAATTGTTTCACCCAATGTGACATCTTCAATAAGACTTTCGTTGTTGGTTAAAATTAAGTCAAGTATTTCATCTTTTCTGGTGGGCTCCAGAACATGTTGAGTCAAAAATAGTTCATCAAAGTTTTCCCTGAATAGCCTCGTTTCCCCAGTAATAGATGTTAGACCCCCCACAAGTCTGGGCAAATTGAAATCCCCTAAAAGAATTGTTTCACTGACAATGCCCTTTTCTATCTCGTCAAGCATGGCAAGATTAGTTTGTTGTGTTTGATTGGGAGGTCTGTAGAAAGCACCTATTCTTATTTTATCGTTTTTGCCTAAGTTAGGAAAGATATCGATCCAAAGAGATTCGACGTCGTTGGACGTGCCAATATCGCTCCTTTCAAAAGGTCTTAGATTTTTCTTTACGTAGACCAAAATACCTCCACCTACTTTGATTTTCCTTTGGTAGACAAACATGTCATAACCAGTAATATCATAATCTTGTGTACGGTCCCCTAACAACTTTTCATTGATCCATGCCTCCGTTATAACAACCACATCAAGATCCTCGGTTAGTATGTAAAGTTGTAGCTCTCCGAATTTATTTCTTATACTCCTAGCATTGGTATAGAAACACTTGAGGACGTCCCTAGAGATATTTCTATTTGAGACTTCCTGACCTGTAAATGTCACTAGTTTCCCTGCTGTAGTTCTTTCTCATAAAGTTCACTCAGGAGTAACACCCCATTCCTACTTAAGTGATAGCCATCCATCGAATAGAGGTCCCTCCTATCCCAGAAGTTATCCCAGTAGTCTAAGAACTCTATATTGTTTTTCTTACAGAGTTTCCTTACCCTTTCGTTAATCGCAATGGCCCTCGATGACCATTCTGTACCAGCACCAATTTTGGGCAGAATGCTAGTAACTAGGCCTTTCCTCCCAGACTTAACCAATTTTGTGATCACCGTCCTGTAGGTATCAATGAGTTCCTCCGAGTGCGTGTTTCCAATATCATTGACACCACCGTGCAATATGACAACACTGTTAGGGCTACTTCCTCGAATTACGTCATCAAACCTATCAGATAAATCCCTAAGTTTCGCCCCTGGCAAGCACACTCGCAATCGCTTGTCCCGGTTTCGTTCACAGAACGCTCTATCCATGAACCTGATCCGAGAGTCTCCATAAACTAGCACCTCCCGTTCCCCTGGCTTACGAGCATCGGAATTTTCACTAAAAACATTAGACACCGTTTTGCAGACTGTGTGACGACCAACAGCTGCCTGACCATTCCCCTGCAGACCATGTGTTGAATTTAAACCATTATCAGTCGAACTCTTTTCTACATCCCCCGATAGTTTAGCCTCGACGGGTCTCGTTCCTTTGTGACTTATTCCAGGCGACGAGTCACACAGCAGCGCATCTACTCCCTTTACATTTTGCCCGCTTTTAAACAGTTCCTTTGACAGTGTCTCTTGTCTCAATTTTATGTCTCTTACATCCTCCCGCACCTGATCGATACTGAACTGCATCAACCTAATCGCTTCCATCAAGTCCATTAATGTGACACCTAAAAAGGAAGGGCCTGGTAATGGCAGATTTCTGTCCATTGTTTCCATACTTGTACTCACACCGTTTTGACTAACGCAACCCCTGTCGTGTGTGACCTGAGAAGTGTAGAGGTTTCCCCTGTCACCCAGACGGTGTGACGGCGGTCCCTCTGGCTGTCCTGTAGCTGTCGGCTCCTCCAGCTGTCTTGAATCCAGCCCTGGGGCCGCGGAGGGTGGGATGGTCGCCTGCCCCTTTGGCTGTCCGGAGGCCAGACCTGGTGCCACGGAGGGTGGTGTAGTCGTTGACTTCTCTTGATGCCTTGAGGCCAGCCCTGTTGTTACGGAGGATGCTGACGACAGCTGCCCTCCTGGCTGTCCTGAGGCCGACCCTGGTACCCCGGATTGTGGTGCAGTCGTCTGCCGCTCTGACTGTGGGTTTATAGCCGATGCTTTACCTTCGGGCGGTGATGATGGATTCTCCTGCCGTCCGAAGACTGATACGGATGCTCCAGTGCCCGCTAGTTCACGGTGGTGCACACAGAGCCAGATGTCGCTCTGTTCCCCAACGCAACTGGTATGTGCCATTTTCTGGCATGAACTGCTCGCACAGGACCGTACTCCCACTGTCTTCTTGCCTCTCAGCCTCCTGTACGTCAGTGGCAAAAGGCACACCGAGCAAAACATTGCCTTTGATTCTTCCTCTGACAAAGCCCGGCTTATCTTCTCCTTCATGTCTGATTGAATGTTTGTCATAGGAAAGCTTGCAACTAAATGATCCAAGAAGGGGACTAGATAGTGCTCCGTAAAGATCATCGCTGCTCCCGTGCCGTCCTGTCCCTTTTCATTTGACTGTATCAAAATAGTTGAAGTGGTGTAATAACACGTCATGGTGTAGTAACACGTCATTCGTGACCTAAGATGACCTCAGGGCATAAACAGGGGTCACGGACACCATTTTCATGTTCAGTGTGTCTAAACCACTTGTAATTCAGTGTTTGGGAGTGTTTATAATGTCTTTCGTCCAAAAGAGGCGCATTTCAATTTTCTCCCATTGACTTATAATGGGGAGGTCGCAAAATTGACCTGACCTTAGGTCATCGATATCAAAATTCTGAGATATACATTTTGTACATGCTATTGCTCTTAGCAATCGCTGAAAGTTTCAAAGCGATCGGTCACTCGGTGTAGCTATGAGAAAAATTGAAACTTTTTATGAGGTGAGGTCACTTTAAGTGACCTGGTGACCTGACCTTGAATGACCTTGGTCTGAAATTTTCACAACATGTGTAGAATTGATGTGTGATAAGGTGTACCAAAAACGGCGGCGCTCCGCGCCGCCGTTTTTGAGATATTCGCGAAAAACCACAAGGGGGGGTGTTCAAACACCCCCCCCCCCAGCAGGGCGCGGGTTAAGCGCCATGCATTGGGCTACTAAAGATGCCTGATTTCAAAGCGTGTTCTGCCTCCAGTGCCGCACCACCTGCAGATGCTGACGCCTCAGTTCAACAACATATCGATGCAGCTGCCGATGGCGCCACCTTTATCGCAGCCGGACGACCTCAGCGCCACCTGTAACGCCAGCTCGGCCGGCGACTGTCAGCACGACTACTGCGAGTGCACGCACGTCCTCCACGTGCCGCTCGGGGCTGTGGTCGAGCTGTTCTTCATTGATCGCGGTGAGTCGCGGAGAGTCATGCAGAAAAAGTGATTGGAAATTACGCAAATGATGCCAGCCACCCTGCTGGATTCAAGTATGGTGTTAGCATCCCGGCTTTTATGCCCGCAGGTTTCACGTGGGCGCGACGTCAACCATTTTCAATCCCCTGGATTCCCATATGACGCTAGCTAGCATCCCTTCACAATTCACGCTTGACGCTAGTATCCTACTCACACCGGCAGGTTTCACGTACGACGCCAACCACCCGTTGCACCTCCACGGCTACGCGTTCCGTGTGGTGGCGATGGAGCGGTTCGGCTCGCACGTGACCCGGCAGGAGGTCATTGACCGCGACCGGGCCGGTCTGATCCCGCGCCGGCTGCACCGAGCGCCGCTCAAAGACACCGTCACCGTACCCGACGGCGGCTACACGGCCGTCCGGTTCCACGCCAAAAACCCAGGTTAGTGCTCGGAGACCTAGGGGAGCGGGCCAAAAGCTCAGGTAAGCGCCAGCTCCGCGCAAAAAAAAAACAGGTGAAAAAAACTTCCACGCCCAAAACGTGAAATGGTGCCTCAGGAAGAGCTGATCAGGAAGGGAAGCGGATGATATTGATGATGATTGAAAACCGTTATGGATAGTTCATAAATACAATTGTGCTAAAACGAAGAATAACATCAATTCTACCTTGGTAGTAATTAGAGCTAGATGAGGAACTGCATGAATGAATATGAGCAGCACTCAGCAGTAGGTCTCTTCGTAAAAGGCAAGAAGTGCTTTGTCCTGCTTCGTGCTTCATTTAACTCATGATTGTTGAACGTTTGTAGTAGTAGCGTGATAGTTGCAAATACAGCTCTGCGTGTATCGACTGCTTTGTAGACGTATTTTCTTCCGTAGAAGGTGTGCGAATCTTTAAAGCATTAGGTAGCCTATGTTAGGCAGTAGGCATCTCAATCTAGCTAGAAACGCATGACGTGTTAGATAGTTCTTCCGCTAGTATCTGTTAGTTACGTCTTCGAACGTGCTCCGCAGGCTGGTGGCTGTTCCACTGTCACATGAACTTCCACGCTGAGGTCGGCATGGCACTCATCTTCCACGTCGGAGAGAAAGAACACCTCCCGAAAACGCCCGAGGGCTTCCCGACGTGTGGCGGCTTCATGCCGCACTTCAAGTATCTATCGCAGCCGGAAGATGGCAGCACTCCGCGACCGAGGGCGGCCGGTGCTGCGGTGCTTCCTTCGGCGCTTCTATTGTGGATACTGTTCTTGACATCGCGATTGTAACCCATCGGGCTGTTACCTGCGTATTTGTTTGTACAATGTGTTGATAAGTGCGAAAAGTTGCGATAACGTTTTACCAGAGTGTCCCAGTGAGTTGTGTCGTAGGTAAGTGAATTGCCTGGAACGTGTAATTAAGCAATTTGTAGGTGAATGAATCTCAAAGATGCATGTATAGAGCATCAAATTTGAGTGGACTATAAAATCACCGTTCCGTGCTTCTATCCTCAGGATACTGAAATCCTTCTCCCCAACGCCGCAACCCCCCTCCGGGCTGGACAGGCAACTTTATCTCATGCGGGCTGCTCCCTTGGAGCGGCACCGCTGCTCCCGAGGGAGCTGCACCCCGTAGCCGGGTGCAGAGAGTGCTTGGGGGGCTGGTCGGCCTGTCCATTTGGACGGGCTCAGCCCCGGCGACTCTCTAGGGTGCCTGCCCAGACCAATGTCTCCCCCTAATTCCTATCATCCTTCCGGCTCTGAAATGGTCTCGTCAGACCGAAAGGGCCTAACCCAACAAAACAAAAACAAAAACGGACTGTAAGATAGACATATGGCTTTGAATGCATTCACAGTTCCCTCTTTTTCGTCCTCAGTACAATCGATTCCTTTTCCTCCGCGCCTCAAACCCCTGTTCCGAGATTGGGATGGACGGTCACTGACTCGCCTTTATCCGACGTGAGTTGTTTCGTGCGGTGATATTACCGTTAGCGGAGCTGGTTGGCCTGTCCACGTGCTGGGTTCAGCCAGGGCCCTGTTTCACAGGTACGCCGCTACAGTGCTCTACGCGTAGCGGTGTATTGGTGCGGAATTAGCATCGACCCTTCAGGGTTGCGAACGTCCGAGTTTGTTGATGTTTCCATGGAAACCCCGGTGGAGCACCAGGGTGCCCGCCCAGACCAATTTCTCTCCCTAAATCCTATCACCCTTCACTGAAAACAATTTAACCCAAAGCCGGCGAGTAAATCGGTGTTTCACGGGTACCCCTATCGGCAACCATTTTTAACCACCCTCCCAGGAGTAGTGCTAGGTCCCATGGCGGTGTAGTCGTACTTGCTCTGAGCGGATATAACCGCTGTCAGCGAACATGTCCGCTGAGAGCAGGGACGACTACACTGCAATGGGACCTTACTGTACTCCTGGGAGGGTGGTTAAAAATGGTTGCGGATAGGGGTACCCGCGAAACACCGGTTTACTCGCCGGCCTTGGGTTAAATTGTTTTCAGTGTTCTGACTCAGAAGAGGTATCATTAGAACAATATGGCCTAAATCTTCCAAACAAATAAATGAATGCATTCTAGGCCGCGTTATGGTTAAGCGTGATTTACTTGATAGTGCTAGCCTAAATCAATAGTGAGTCGTAGACACTTTTAATCCTTTCATATGATACAAGTGCCCAAGAATGGCAATTCAATATTCCACCCCTGAAAGTGAAATGATTTCCAACGTATTACTTAGTCATCATCAAACACGAGTCGTTCAATGCAGTCCGGAGTTTTTTTATCGCATAGATCTGAACACTGCGGAAACTTGTGCCTGTAAAACGACGTGTGACATTACAATGACGGATTCATGTGTCAGTTGTTTGTAGGGCGCTGATTGTTATACCTATACTGATAACGCTGCAATATGCATAATTGACGCGTTGCATTGCGATTCTTTTTGTTCACTGGTACTGTATATTGATAGGTACGAAATATTGATATACCTAGTAAATATGAACAATTTGTGTGAGAGCCTCATCGACTATATTCACAAGGTCCTAACAAATCATGTCGACCAAGTAGGTAATCATGATATACCCGTAATGGAACATATATATTTGAGTTAGTAGTGGAATATTTGATGCCTATTTATGTAATTTATATCTTAGCGCTTGAAACAGAAGGTATGACTACATCCACCATCGCTCAATGTATTGGCTAAGCATTTTAAAAAGTAGAAGGACCAGAATACTGAGGTTTGTTCTGTTTGGGCGGGCGATCGACCTTACACCGCAAAAAGTTATAGCTTTTTGGTAACTTATATAGTTTTTAAAGCAGAGGAACTCCTGAAAAAGTGATCCACCTTTAGCACGTGCCGAACACATGCCCACCGGTACTGAATACCCATTTGGCATTCGGCGTTTAAATATAATTCAGTGTGTAAACTAACTTTTGTTTCGATGATTATAAAGATGTTTGATGAAGGAAGAGGTATAGGTGCATGAGTCTACATTTCTTACAAATACAAATAGTGTTTTGCTGCTCAATTATTTAAAACGGATAAGCAGGTCGTTCAATAAGTAAGGTAAAATGTACCATAGTTCATTTATATGAGGAATTCAAGCAAAATCAAATATGCCATCTGAATCGTTGAACAATTTTCTACACAACCTTCGAAAATGTTTTTGGGAGTTTGGCTCATTGTCCGAACACGATCGATGTGAAAACATTGATGCAGCAGAGTTCCGTTCTAAAAATCCCCGGTTTGTCACGCGAGCCAAAATTACCCTCAAAATGAGTGAGTTGAACCTGATGACGCTATTGCCATTGGCAATGCTTGCTGGTGAACAGCTGGTACGATTTCAACAAGAACACAGCAGTGTAAGAGACAAAGTTCTAGAGCAGGGTAGACTTTTGCCCGCAGACCTCTCTGGACTGGGCACAGTCTGTAAAGTCGGGGAGCTGATTATGGAGACCCGAAGCATCTGTGTGACTGCTTTCATTAACAGGGTGAAGTGTTATGTCGGAACAGTTCTAGGCATCATCAGATATGCTTGATATTTACAAGGTCATCACGAGGTTAATAAAGCCAAAGAGCTCACTGAACAACAGAAGGACGCCCAGCGAGACATCAGTGTGGGATCGGCTTTGCTTTAGCAGTAGGTACAGGAAAGCTGAAGTACAGCCGTGATCTGGCACCGTCCCACTTGAACCTGTTTGGATCACCGGAATCTTAACTGATCAGGCAATCGATAAAATAATCAAGACATGGCTTTGGAATAGCAATAAGGAGTTTTCCAAGCAGGATTTCAACGCCGGGTGGAGTGCTGGATAAGCGCGTGCGCCTGAACGGTGATTGGATATAGGTGCCAGTTCCGAAGGCTTGGGAGGCTTTCCGAAGAGACCTGCTTACAAATGCTTATAGCCAATTTGTAGACGATATTTCAATGAACATATGTTGCTAGTTTTGTGTTGTTGCATCAACTGTGGACTGAAATACGTGTGATTTTACCTTACTTATTGAACGACCAGGTAGCCAGGCTGAAGGTTCCGTGTTTTTTTCCGTGTTTAGCTTGCATGTATAATGTATATTGGAGCACAGTAGCGCCTAAAAACGCATTTTTATGCGAGTTTTTTTTATTTTTCATACCGTGTAGATTTCAAAAGATGCTCCCTTATTGAGCGTTCTAAATCAACGACGCATGCCATCATTAGAACATGTGAACTATAAAGGACGGATCCAAAAGCCCAAATTTTATGTTTTCGCGTATCAGATGTGATCATTGCCTTACTCCTAAAAAATAACCTGAGTTTTGCATCTATAACTTGGCAACAAACTATACAGTTACAGGAGTTACTGCGTTCACAATCACATACTTAGTCTACCCATGCACCTTAGCACTGAGCGCTTACTTAACTGCTTTGTGGGTGTCAGTGTCGGTTTCAGTGTCAGTGTCCAGTTAAATCCAGTTCAACAGTATCAACAACAGTTCAACAGTATCAACAACAGTTCAACAGTTCAACAACAGTAGGTACCTACTGAGTGTCGGAACTTCAATGTCAGTAGCGGACTGCCGCGACCGACGCCGTTCAGCTGCAAAGTCCCCTGTCTGCGATGCTCCGTTGTCATGCCACTTAGAGTCCACACACCGCTGTCACCACGACCCGACCGACGACCCGGGCGGTAGGGAGTCGTCTCCGCCGTCCCGCGCCGTCCGGCCGCGCCCCGCTCCCCGCCCGCGCAGTGCAACCACTCCCCGCGCGCCGCAGCTCCAGACCCAGCTCCTCCCCCCGACTCCCCGGGACGGCCATGACGCCGCTCTCAGCAGTGATGCTGCTCCTTCTACCGGCGTCGATGCGCGACGTGACCTCCGGCGACCTCCGCCACCCGGGCCCGGTGTACGACGTGTTTGAGCACGTCTCAGGGTCATTCACCGGCGCCGCGAATTTCACCGGCGCCGCGGCCTCTCTGTTCGTGTGCGCGGCGCGGTGCACGGCCGCGGGTCGGGGTGTCTGCGGTGGGTTCAGCTATGTGCGGGGCGGGCCCTGTCGGCTGTATCCGGAGTCCGGCGACTGTTCCGGCCCGGAGACGGGGCCGGAGGCGGCGGGAAGGGAGACGAGGAACTACAGGAGGCTGACGCCCTGCCCAGGTGAGACCGCGGAGAGAGGGATACAGTGTGAGGTGGGGCGTTGTCATGAGGACGGCTATACAGCTGTTTGGATGACATCGTTAATGACATTGTTGAATGAAATTTAAAAGAAAAAATATATTTAACAAATATATTTAATATATTTGAGTAGGTGTGAAAATATGCATTTTAAAGTCTGTGGGAGCCTTTAAAACTGGCCTGAAGATGGTCGACATGGGACATTTTGCGGCCTATTGGACGATATGCACGATCAGGTGCACCAAAACGCAGCGACTGCCGGAAATGCAATGAGCAATACAACAAGCATTCGTATTTACCTACTCAGTGCCAGCGGAAGCAAGAAATGGTCTTCTCACACTTGTTAAAAACTGGCGGTGCTGTTGTATTTCTAAAAAGATATAGCATTATGTTGAACATCCGTCCGGAGTTTGGTCTCGAAGCCTTAGCAAAAGAGTTCTGTGCAATTTTCCACAGCCTAGCCGCCCCATCAGCCGTGGCTCCACAGCCACAGCCACCCACCCACAGTCGTGGCAAACTATATGTAGGTATGTGCGTAATGTGCGGCCAGCCGTCAGCCGGCCGTGAATAACTTTAATGAAATTGTAGTGCCTGCAATTTGGTTGCGCTTTCCCTACGACAGCTGATTGTTTACGTTTCTGAAGGTCGCGCCGCCTCGAGATTCTCTCGGCACTGGCTCGCGGCGCGGTGTCAGCGTTCGGCTATTTTATTCGTTTCGCTCGTTTTTATGTGATGTGTGTGTAAAGTAAATATAACCTAAATTGTGTTAAACCTTTTACCGATCCACGCACAACATATTGGTGACCCCGACAAGATAAGCAACTAGTTCTTCAACGCAAATTTCGTCCAGTTTCGCCGGCGTGCCGGCAGCGTGCTCCTCCCGCTGGAGTTTCAGAGCGCCTGCCCCCCGAACTGGACCGTGATAACTCTACTGACATTTTTGTGACTGTGCTGTGTCAACGTAATCGTCCGGTGCCCGATCGCCGCGCCGACGAATTTTTTCTCATACACCGACAGCACGTGACGTGTCCATCGGCCGCCGCCATCGCCGTCCTGCACCGGATACTGGTGGCGCCACCTAGTGAGAGCGAACTTCACTACAACTTCAACCAGTCGCCATGGCCGAGTCGCCTGATCAGCCGCCGCCGCCGCCGTCACCCGCACCCGCTGAGACCGCTGCCGCCCCACGGGCTCACGCAGCGTTCCGACTGCCTCCATTCTCGGCCGAGGACCCCGCCCTGTGGCTGGCCCAGGTGGAGTGTGCCTGCCGGGTGGCCGGTATCGCCGACAGCAGCGTCAAATTCGACCTGCTAGTCGCCAACCTGCCGACTGACGTCGCTCGGCAGGTCCGTGACGTCATCACCGCCACCCCGGCGAACTACACGGCGCTGACGAGCGCCCTGCAGGCCCGGCTGGCGCAGTCCCGGGCCGCACGCCTGTCCGCCCTGCTGCGCAACACCCAGCTCGGGGACCAGAAACCGACGCAGCTGCTCCTGCGCATGCGTTCGGAGCTGGGAGAGGAGGCGCAGGACAGCGCGCTACTTAGAACGCTGTTTCTGCAGCGCCTGCCG